AGATCAAGCCCTGCATCGGGCTCCACGGCTTAAATCAGAGTCTGCTGGAGACTCTCTCACCTTCTGACCCTCCTGCTCATGTGCTATCTTAAAAAAAAAAAAAAAAAAAAAAAGTGCCAAAAGCAAAATGCCTAAAATAGATAAGGTGAACGGTCTTTCCAGTGAAATACGACAGAAAATTATTAAGAACAAGCAACTGTCCACAGATATTTCCTCTGTTGAGCTATAATGCTACTAAGTATCTACCCAGCAAAATTTGTATACATTCACGCACACCTGGACTTTACACATTTCTCTAAATGCAGCTGTTGGCAAAAACACTTTTTTTTTTAAAGATTTTATTCATTTATCTGAATGATGTTACCAGTTAGTAACTCTTACATGAACTCTCTGAGAGAGAGCACACAAGCAGGCAGAGCGGGCAGGCAGAGGGAGAAGCAGGCTCCCCGCTGAGCAGAGAGCCCAACATGGGGCGCGATCCCAGGGGTCTTGGGATCATGACCTGAGCCAAAGGCTCAACTGACTCTCAACTGACGCTCAACCGACTGAGCCACCCAGGTGCCCCAGCAAAAATACTTTTAAACGTATTCATACACATACAGCTGAGAACTGGACTAAATAAGGTTTGGCTCAAATTATAACACTGAAGTGATGATGAGAGCTAACATTTATATAGCATGTTGACACATCTTAACTAACTGAAAATGGGAAAATGGGCAGCCTGAACCGTGCGGGAAGCCTGCCCTCATTAGACCAATAGGACAAGGTTTCTCCTGGTCACTAGAGCAGCCTGAGGAATTGCAATCCCTTTCAAAGCATGTGATGAGCCTCAGCCATAAATGACATTTACATAGCTCTCATTGTATGATGAATAAGTGATACTGATTTATCCAGAGATTGTAAACATAATTACTGGGTGAGGAGAAGTGCTGAAAAGGGAGCTGAAACTTCATCTTCCACACAAAGAAGTCAACAGATTCTACTAAAAGCCAAAAACTGTCACTTATGTAAAAATACAAGGGTTAATACCTAAAAATAATAGCTACAAAGTGAAAAAGGTAGCCACTGGGACATAGGAAAACATCAGGGACTGTTATTTTTCATTATGAGACTTATAAAAATATTTGATTTAAGTACACAAATAAATGCATGACTTTGATAAAAATTTTAAATTAGTTTCATTTGAACTAAATAAATAAGTACACACATACATACATAAAATGCTGTCTAAATTGCTTAGGCTAGGACAAAAAGAAGGAAAAATAATGGAGGTCCTCATTGATTATATACAGTCATCTTTTTGTACCTAAAAGACCTTCCTTTTTCAGTGAGCTGGAGTTTTAGAAAGTGAGGGGTCTCTGGATTGCTAACAAAAGGGTAACAATGTACCCAGCACAGGAAGCCAGCCTGGACAGCCTTGACAATATGGGGTGACAAAAGCTGCAGAAAAATCACCTGCCCTCCTGGCCGACAGGTCAAGTGACTCCATGAATAACAGACTCAGGGAACATCGGCAAAAAACTCACCTTCCCCCAAAACCAGGTGAGATAACCACTACCATCTGTGACACAGTACAAGGTCTGAGAAGTGGCCTATTCAGAATTCAAATTAAGCCATACAGGAATTGAGAGGGGGTAACCATTCATTCATTCTTAGTGGTAAGATAAGGAAAAGCTCCATAAACAGTGGAGTCTGAGCTGGGTTTTAAGGGATGCACAAGAGTTCAACAGGTAGAGATGGAAGACAGGATCTGTTTCAGGACGAGGAAATAATAGCCTGACATAGCCAGAGGTGAAAAAATAAAACAGATGGTGTGTTTGGAAATGGGACATGGTCTAAGCCACATCAAGATGCACATTACATGCTGTCATTGCCTCAAGTGGAAAATGTGGGGACGGGTGGGGGACTCCTGGGACAGTTTAGTGGTTTCTGTCAGAGTACAAGACTATAGACATGATTAACTTAAATAAAATAAAAAGGGGTGTTTTTCTAAAATTAAATAGTTGATGAGAATATGCCCCCCTGTGTCTGCTTAGGACAGACTAATACTTAGCTCATTACTCATGTCATGCCTGTCATGACCCCAAGTTTCCCTAAGGCCTTAGCTTTGTGCTAGTGAATTCCATCAATACTTTCTCCTTATAATTCCCCAAGAGGATGGAACTCATAGACTTAGAGATTTGGGTTTCAAGTACCTTCAGTTCTCCCTTCAACTTGCAAATGGAATACCATTATAAATGGACAAATTCCTTTAAAAAAAAATACTTTCCCCCTTTGTCATTTTCACATAATAGATGTTCCTTTCAAAACTGCAGTCATGAGGTGCCTGGGTGACTCAGTTGGTTAAGTGTCCAATTCTTGATTTCATCTTGGGTCATCATCTCAGGGTTTGAGATCAATGGGGGTCAGGCTCCATGCTCAGTGGGGAATCTGTCTGAGGTTCTCTCCCTCTGACCCCTCCCCTGACTCATGCGAGCACGTATTTGCAGGCTCACATTCGTGTGCGCTCTCTCTCTCAAATAAATAAATAAATCCTGGGGCACTTGGGTGGCTTAGTTGGTTAAGCGTCCAACTTTTGATTTTGGCTCAAGATCACGATCTCAGGGTCATGGAATCAAGCCCTTCATCAGGCTCACGCTCAGCGGGGAGTCTGCTTGAGACTCTCTCCCTCCCCCCGACCTCCAACCCCGCTCACACTCTAAATAAGCAGAGATTCTCTCCCTCCCACAAAAAATAAAAATCTTTTTTAAAATAAATTATTTTTTTAAATAACTTCAATCATAAATTGAACCAAATGTGATCCACATAGCCCCAAGTACTGGTTTTGGTTAAAATATATACATCTAACTCAAGGTTTCTATGTATCTGAGGAAGTTGTAGCAGTTACCAGACTACAAACTTATTCCTCCCTATCAAATTGAATATTTATAAAATCAGTTCACTTTTACATACAAATCATAAGCCTTCAAAAATAAAAGTAAGCCTATTAACTTTTACTCTGCCCTTTATCAATGTTTACAAGTCTCATTTATGAAACACAAGTAAATCTTAGAAGAAAAAAAATTATGAAACCAACACATCTTTACTTTTGTGTTCTTTTAATTCCATGAGTAAAAATGGTAGGTGATGAAGATACAAAACTGACAAGATATTGCCCTGCCTTCATTAGCTCCCGATCTAGTTGGGAGAAACAAAGAGAAGACCATTAAAGAGCACAGGTAAAGAATTCAGTTATACCCCAGGGCCCTTTCAGCACCCAGCCTACAGAAGGTGACCAATAGGAGCTGACTGATTAGTTAAACAGATGGTTGTAAGAATAGGTTGGTGGAAGGATCAATAGTATTTCTGGCTAACAGAAAAGAGGGTAAGTGGGCCAAATAGCATCTGAAAGCAGTGCTTCTGCAAGTATAATAGGATAAATTGAACTCAGACAAATTTACTAAACAGTTATATCATCATTTTAGTGCATTTTAAAAAATAAACACATGAAATCTAGAATTTCAAAGATACTTTTTCTTAGGATGAAGCCAAACATTTACTTTTTAGGATGACTCCATGAATTTTTAAAGCAGTTCAAATTCAGGATGATCCAGGAGAAAGGAGATATTCTAAGCAGAGGGAAAGGCATAAGCCCAAACCAGGAGGCACGAAACATTGATATCTGCAAGGAGTTCAAACCAACGGACAGGCTGCAGGCAAAGCAGTGGTAGATGAGGACTGTCAAATCACAAAGCAGTAGGTCTGCCAGATTCAACAGGATGAACTTACCTTGTGTGGTGACAGGGACCCACATAAAGGACATGGCTATGCTTGTATTTTAGAGGGATCCCTCTCAGGGGTGAGTGGAGGGCAGACACTGGGGAGTCGACTGGAGTAGGGTTTAGTGGGAATCATAAAAAAGAAATATTTAGGTGTTTAAAAAAAATCATCAGGCTTTGCTGATTGGGTATGAGCAGACGAGATCATGAAGGATAATTTGATGGTTTACAGCTTGGGTGACTAAATAGACAGTAGTACCTAATAAAAGGGCTTAAGTCAAGGGAGGGCTTTGAGGGGTTTTGTTTTGTGTGATAATGATAATAAGCATGACTGATAATGAGCATACTATCCTAAGAGAAAGGGAGAGAAAGTGGTAAAATGAGTAAAGTTGATGATATAGGAGACTCGGGTCCCTTTCCTCCTGAGAGAGGTATTATGATTACATTAATCCAGAGTACTGTGTAAGAACAATGAGTCCCAGCAACAATATGTTAAATGAGGAAGGAATCCAGAAATGTGGGTCAAACAGGGCGCTCAGAAACCAGATTTAGGAGGAGGGATAACCTGAAGAAAGATCAGAGTCACAGGAGCACCAATTCAAGGTTGGGAATGTGTCAACATAACAGCTAAAGTAGCCCAGGCCCTGTCAGTACACCCCCTAGAACTGGGTCAAGATGGAGTGGTCAGTCACCCACATCTAACGGAGATAGCCTGGCCTTTCAATCAAGACTGATCAAGACTCCTAGGTGACCCGCCTACCTGCACAGCCTTTCCCCTTCTTCCCCTGCTACTGGAAGTGGCAAATGTCCTGGTCTAATATGCTCTCAAATATTTCTCCATTTTCCAACAAGATTTAAGGAGTTAGTTGAAGCCATGTGAAGTACAATTTGAAAATACTTCCCAATAGACACAGAAGCTATTCTTACAACAGCTTCACAGGAAGAGGTCACAACTAGGCATGGGAAAGATCTAGCCTCCTGCTGGCTGGAGCTCTCATTTGCTCCGTTGCTCTCCTCTTGCTCTCTGAACTCAGTTTCACACCAGTCACTGTTTGGTCAGGCCTTGATAATCTGTAACCCTAAGCATAAATTATATCCAATTTATACAAGGACATAGTAGAGCTGGGCTCCGGAAGAGCACTGGACATCTGTAGTACTTGACATTCAAGCCTTTGGCCAGATGTCAACATTTCAGAGAGTACTTTAAATGTTTTGGTCTGAGAGCTAATGCAGCATTTCCCACTGGTCAACACGAGCAGTCCAAGCAGAGAGCAAAGTCTGTTTCTCTCAACATCAGATGTTACACTCAGTTGCTGATCCAATCTTTCCTACAGAGACAATAAGAGGCTGGAAAAACTGGTAAGTAAAAAAGGTCCATCCAATGCAGAGTATATTTAAAGAATATTTGTGATTCCTATGTGAAATGGCTGTTTGTGCTCATGTTGGCTTAAATTCTTTTTTTTTAATGGATTAAATGATAAGGGACAGATTTACAGATGAGATTTGACTTTTCCAAATTCAAAAACTAAACTAAGTCTAATTAACTGTTCCCTGTCAATATTCCTTTTAATCGCATGGAGCAGGATTTTCTTCCACAGGCTCATGCATTAGGCTTTAAGAAATCACTATTTTTTAAAAAATTTGTAAATTTATTGCTTGTACAACATAAGACAGTGTTGTGTGTGTGTGTGTGTGTAGTGGGTTAAAATCAGTTTGGGATGCGGTAAGCAGCGCTGATATAGCTGAGCATGACATAATCCTCAGAGCTAAGGGAGGTCAGTAACAAACTGAAATGCTGAAGAAAGAAAGACAAAATAGGTTTGGTTTAAGATCACAAATGGCCCCGACTCCAGAAAGACTGAAACCAAAGGTAAAATACTTCATGCAAGGAAGCATTTAAAGTCTTCTCTGAAACCTAAACGCCTAAACTACTTGTGTGGATTTAATGGTGAGTCACAATTGATTTTTAAAGGAAAGACACAGAAATTAAATAAGACTCATAGTTGCTATTTTAGTTTTTTCTTTGTTAATGTCTTAGGTTTGGCTTTTCATATCTTTGATTCTTCTGATTTCTTCCTCTGAGACTTCACCAACATTTAAATATCAAGTATTCAGTGTTTTTTTTTAGTTTTAATTTGTGGATGGCAAGGACAAAGAACAACTTGTGGAACTTATTTTTGTTTGTTTTTCTAAAATTGTATAGTAAATTTCATGAAGTCTACACTAACAGATAATTTTAAAATTTCATTTGTGCTTAGAATCCAGTCTAGTATATTTCCTAGTAAAAAAAGTTATTTAAGAGCCCTACTGGAGAAACTGTAAGAACACTGTAACTGGAAGAGGGCAGAGAGATAGGATCATTTATCAACCACAAGGGCCTCCCCACTCTGCCGGGAAAAATGTCTTAAAAATCACAAAATTTAGTATTTTTAAAAAGTAATGAGTCTTCTTAACGAATGATTCTCTAAATGTAAAAAATGCAACCTCCTAAGTCTTAATTCATTTTTATAACTACCAACTTTTTTTTAAGACTTTATTTGACAGAGAGAGAGAGAGAGAGAGCGTGAGCACAAGCAGGGGGAGTGGCAGGCAGAGGGAGAGGGAGAAGCAGGCTCCCCACTGAGCATGGAGCCCGAATGCAGGGCTCAATCCCAGGACCCTGGGATCATGACCTGAGCTGAAGGCAGACGCTTAACTGACTGAGCCACCCAGGCACCCCACCTACCAACTTTCTTGCCAGTTTTCCCCACTTAAAGATAGCATTCACGGGAGAAAATCTCTCTACACACATCTTTAGTCCTCTTTCCATTCCAGAGGACTTTCCATATCAGCCTGCCCATTATAGGGGAAGACACTTCTTCACCTTTAGTGCTTCAACACACAACATTTCACTACTGGCAGGGATTACCACATGTAATCAAGAAGAGTCTCAGAAAGAAAATCCAGAGTAAATGTTTGCTTTGAAAAACATAACCAAGATCTAGGCTTACTTACTTCTTGCCATAAGCCCTATAATACAACAACAGATTTTTTTGTTAACCATTAATGTGTACTTTCACTAATAACCATTAAGTGTATTAGTACTAATCATATGAAATTTCCTCCTGTAGGTTAAAAAAAAAAAAAAACAGCCAAATATTAACAGTTTTATATGACTCAATCTAGTAGGAAAGGAAGAGAGACAGAGTCTCAAAAGGCAGCCCCAAAAGTCAAGTGGTGAGGAGAAAACCATTAATGGTATTTTACATAATTTTTATATGACAGCGAGATCCAGAACTTCTAATCAACAATTCCAAGTAACGAATCCCCATAGATACAGCTGTCTGCTTTTAAAGGCTTTGCACAGATATTATCAAAATTGGATGTTTCCAGCAGCCACATTACACTGGGAAATGCCTCCTACTGTTGGCTCTGTTTTACCAGTCAGGAAGCTAGGGTTCAGGGAGGTTCATTGACTCGAACATGGTAACACAGCTAATAAGGGCAAACGATGGGACGTCAAGGAAAAAGCCATCCGGCTTCAAATCCAGTACACTTTCACCTATCCCATTTCTCTCTATCTAACGAGATGAATGTGCCCAAAAAAACTGTAATTTATACATAAACACAAGCTGGAAATGCAAAAGTGTACAGAACTGCTCTGCCTCTTAACTTGTTTGCACAACAGCGGCAATAATCACATCACATCAAACAGTCACTATTATGGGCACTCTGATTTTTATAGAGGCAATTTTATATGGTAGAAAAAGCAGGCCCTCTGCAGATAAACAGCTGAATTTGAATCTACTGTGACCTTGAGCTACGTTTCTTAGCTCTTTTGCCTCTATGATCTTCCTCTGTTCCATAGCCCGTAAAACATCATGATAAAGCTATCACCGCAAAGAGCTGCTAAGATACTAATGGAGACATGTTAGTATCTGACACATAGCAGCTATTCAATAAAAATAGAATTCTCTCCCCAATCCTTGCTAATAACTTATTATGTCAGAGATAGTATACTGGCAAGATTAAAACCTCACAGAAAATTTCTTGAGTTAGTATCTGATACTCACAGGGCCAAATAAGAAATTGCAAAATAAGGTAGCATAAATACTTCTCCCAATTCACCTCCTAACACAGATATGTAACAGGAAAAGGAAGAAGTATGTTAATAGCCTTCTGGATTTTTTTCTTTGGCACCACACCAAAACTCAAAAAGTGGTGGTTTCTTAAATGTTGTTTGCAATGTAGAATCTAAATCCTCATCAATGAACATTCTTCTTACATTAAAATCCTTCAGTCTAACTTAGTCTCTGAATAAGCCTTTGATCTGTGCTAGATTTTATAACATCATAGAATCATCGGTCATTTGGATACGTTCACTCAACACAGAATTCATGCAGAATATACTCTTCATTATATAAAAATCAAAAAATGATATTAATATTGGCACTGATCTCTAAGTACTGTTTTCCTTGATGTGTTGTTTTCCTTGATGAAGGCTCACTTCAACCATTTTTTGAGAAAATGTCTACCAGATACCCCAGTCTGAATTACTACAGTTTGTGTATCATTCTTTCAAGTAAAAACGGTGTTCCAGGAAAAAGCATCTAATTCAGCTCATGGCTCAATCACTCAAGTGTTGTTGCTCTAGACAACCATCGTATCTGGCAAAAGCTTTAGGAACAATTCCTATTCTGTAATGCAAAATATTTAAGACATATTTAAAGGGTAAGATTTAACCAAATTAACCATATACATTCCTTCATCGAGGACACTTAGCCTTTTCTTTTCCTGGCTACTGAGCATGCAGAGCAGTATATGCAGTGACTACAGGACAGATGTGCACATGGCCTTGATTGGTGCTAAAGTCCCAGCAGGTTTGTTTTACATACCACGGCTTTTGCACCATTCATACAAATGTCAGCATAATAAGTTTAAAAAGGCAAATAATATATTACTATTCTTTGAAAGATGGGTTGATTTTCAATGCCCTCCTGAAAGGGTATCAAGGACCCCCAGGGACCTAACAGACCATACTGTGAGAACTATTAGTTTAGACTTTGAGATAGAAAAATTTTCTTTTGATACAAAAAACACAAACTCAAAAAAAAGCAATGACTATATTAAAATCAATAACTTTTGTTTATCAAAATAAATCTTTAAAAGTAAAAAGACAAGTTACAATCTGGGAAATGCGATTTGCCGTATATACACCCAACAAAGCAGGTATCAACAATATTTGAAGAATTTTTACAAGTCAATGATAGCATAAACAACCCAACAGAAAAATGAGAAAGTATGACTTGACATTTCATGGAAATAACTGATTATTATATGACGAGATGCCCATATCATCAGTTATCAAGGAAACACAAATCAAGACCACAATATAATATCATGTCACAAAAAAAACTTTAAAAATCTGGGAATATGAAATGTTGAAGAGGATTTGTAACCACAAGATCATTACACATTACTGATAGGAGTATAAATTGGCACAACCACTTTGGAACATAATTTGGCACTGTTTCCATTATTTTAACATTCACATACCCTATGAATCGGCAATTTAACTTCTAGATTTATACCCACAGGAAAATCTTTCACATGTTCATCAAGAGACAATATGGATATACATCTCATTATAGTTTACATGGGCAAAAACCTGGAAACACCCCAAATACAGGAAACTGAGTGAATGAACTGAAATGATCAGACAATGGAATGTTATAGTCATCAAGACAAACGAATAACAATACTCAATAATATGGATAACATCTGGTATTATATAGTTAAGTTGCTAAAAGATTACATATGGCCTTTTAAAAAAACACACACACAATTTCATACACATACATACCACAGATACACACTTTTAGGAAAACATATAGATGTTACAGAACACTATAAAACAAGACAGCAGGATAATGAAGAAAATAGGATTTAGGATACATGATGGCCAGAGAGGGGATGTGGGAAGGAGGACAGAGCATTCAGCTACATGTAGCTTATTACTGTCTTGCCTTTTGTTTCAGTTATTGAGTTTAAGGAAAATTATTAACATGATTAAAAATAACAGAATTAAACCTTTTAGTCAAACTTGCATCAACTTTGCATATGTCATAAATTAAAGTTATGGTTGATCCAATTTTATGCACCAAAGATTTTAAAAGATACCTATACATTTTAACCTATAGCACAGAAACTGTAAAACTTTGGAGGTTCTAAACACACTCATCATTTGACAGGTAAGTAAATCAACTCCTGAGTTTGACCAAAATTGTACAGATATTCACTCATAAATTTCACTATCTATTGAACTTCTACTGTATGCCAGACACTAATTTAGCAGTGAGCAAGAGAATTAAGTCCTGTTC